TCTCCTTTTTAAGAAGAAGTCACTGCTCAGTCTAAGAGAAGCCAAAAAAATTGTTTTTTTTTAAAAGGGATTAGATATATCTCTAAATACAATACGGGACAGTCTTCAGAAATCTGGCATCAAATATAGCAGTACTTTGATCAAACCCCTACTTTTAGAAACCACACATTAAAACAAATTAAGGGCTATGTATGGGTGTAAACGAACATTTTATATTCTCCCAATTTGAAAAGATTAAAATGGGGGAAATCATTTTAGGTGTTGCAAACTTTAAATAAAAAAAGTTGCGCAACAATTTAACATGCATTATTCGAAGAAACCAAATGGATTACTATCAAATTTGGTAGCTTACCAGTTTATGTAATATAATTCGTAGACTCACTAAGTTTAATTTTTACATTTTGCATGTTCGAAATATTAATATTAAAATCAACCTTATTAACTCAAATGAAATATATATATGTGATATAACCTCAATAAAAGCTAAATTTCATATATGAGGTATATAAGTAAAATATCAACCAAAGGTTGGGAAATCCTACTTTCATTCGGGACCAATAAAAATCGTTATATGTGGTGGTGTTAATTTTGCTAAGATATCGGTATATCGGTCTATAGGTTATAAAAGCAAATTCCTATAAATTTTTTGTATTAGGTATATGGGGGCTAGGGAAAATTTTGAGGCCGATTATATCCATTCTTGCCACAAAGGCATGCTGTAATCACAAAAATATTCTCGCCAAATTTCAATACTAGACCACACAGATTGACCGATATGTGCGATGAAAAATCAACCTCTGTATATATACAGGTACACTTAGCGTCGCTATCAATTATTGCAAGCAATTTGAAAATTCTAACAGCTTTCAATATCAATAATTGCCATACAGCTGTACCTGATAGGAGCAGAACATATTTGCACGGTCAGAAAATTAGCAAATGTAGTCATCAAAAAAGAAAGTTTGCAAATTCGAACGTAAAAAATAACATTATCTATAAACCAATTGTTAAATCGAAAAAAAAGCAATCAATTGGCTGATAAAAAGTGTGTGTTTGTGCTGTTTGCGTTTGTTATTTGCGAAAGATTAAGCAAAAATCGATTTTAAGCGAGCTTATTCAATAACCACTGCTTGCCTCTAGTACACAAATACTTTTTTTATACATGTTTGTATGTGCGTTGCAATTTTTGCAATTCCTTCTAACACAAATTCCGTTTGGACTTTCATTCTTGTGTGCAAGTATTCATTTGTTTGCTTACCTTTCTGCTCGGGTTGCGCCTGCTTAACATCCAATGCCGCCACTGATGATGGTGCTGCTGCTGCGACGGCGGCGGCGGCTGCTACAGTCACAGTGGTCGACTGCTGTTGCTGTTTTTCCTTCTGTTGTTGGTAGATTTGCTCCTGTTGATGCTGTTGCTCCTTCAACAACAGCGGCAAGTGTGAGTCATTCACTGTTGTTGCTGCAATCGGCTGTGCCGGTATTCCTGTGGTTGACTCTATTCTTGTTGTAGTTGTGCCTGCTACTGCTGCTGCGACCTCTGTCGCTGCTGTGCCGTTACTAACAGCAGCCGCAGCTTCCAGTGGCACGGAGCTTTTCTCCAAAATATCCGCCATATTGACTTGCTGCTCGGCACTCAGCGTTTATTATGTGCGAGCGTTTTTGTGTTAGTGCGCTCGTTTACGGTTGCGTATGTGTGTTCTACTTCCGTAACGTGCGCTTTAAAGGATGCGGTGGGGTGGATTGCGATACGCAGCGACGATATGGGGCACCCCTTACAGGAGACGAGTTCTGTAATGCGAAGGAATGCGTTGCACTCAGGACAACGAAGCTTCCTCTATGTGTGTTTGTTAAGGTGTGTGTGTTTTAATGATTTTATTTTTACAGTAACAGTACGCTGAGTTGTTGTTGTTTTTGGCTTTGTGCTCACCCTCTGCTGCCGCCTAAGTCGCACTGGCTCTCACTTCGCCTTCGTGGATTGTGTGTGTATCTTTTGTTTGTTGAAAATTTTTCAATTCACAATTTCTTCTTTAAATTTTAAAGCACTTTTCAACGCTACTTATTCACGATTCTGCTTTTTAAATGCACTTTTCTTATGTAACTCTTTCTTTTCTAACAAAACAATATGTTTGTATGTATGTGTGTATGTAAAATTTCGAACCTGTAAAGAAATCATTATTAATCACCCGTTTTTATTACGCGCTTCATGCACCGCTTTCACACCGGAAATTAAATTAACGGTGAGGGCCACTCGCGGTTTGCCTGCGTTCTGGTATAACAACTACCGTTACCGTTCTGGAATAGTCTCTTTTCAATTCAAAACTTGCTACCAATGGACTATTTTTCCTCGTAAAAACTTTTCTGTATACACATCTACATATGTATGTATGTATGTAAGTATGTACGTATGTGTGCATCTATTTTCCTAAATTTTATTCACACTTTGCTCTGCTTCGCACTGCGCAGTGCGCTTTCAATAGTAACTATCTCGAAACGTAATTCAAATTTCACAATTCACACAAAGCCATTTATTTGCATATGAAAAAGAAACAATTTATTTAATATGCACAAAAACGCTCAACAAAAAAACCAGCAGCAAACTGAAATGAAATGAAAAGAGCAAAAAACACACTGTCACACACCTTAGCGCTGTGTCGCACCGTAAATAGTTGTTACACCGTGGATGAATCTATTTGGTCTGTTATCTCGTCTCGAACTGATTGCGCGCTGCAAAGAAGAATTTATAATTAACGTTCAAATGCGTACAGCTCGCATCGCAAGCCCAAAAGCCGCAGAGAGCCAGTGAGTGCAGAGACATTGCATTCAAGTGAGAGCGCGCACACAGACGCTTTTGTGGTGAGCTTTTAGTACATGAAAGCCGGTTATGTTATTGGCCCAGCGCTGTTGCCATTGTGGGTGTAAACAGTGGTTGGCGTAGAAAGCTCCAGCAGCGCAATCTGAAGGAAAATGCAAGGGTCTAACAAAAACTACTATTTAGAACCGTTTCACCAATAACACTTTTTTGCTTTCCAAATTAACTTAAAGAACAAATCGGCTTAAATAAAAACGTACATTGCATACACAATACACAATGAAAAAGTTAAAAAATATTCAACTTCGGAGAGTTCTATAGTATATGGTATGTGGTATATATATTTTCTTCAAAAAACGTTATTCGAAAATTTCTGTTGTTTTTCTAAAATGCTTCAACTGATAATGGCGGAAAACAATCATGATTTTAGTCTGGGCGGTAGCGGCAGCGGCATTTGTGATTAATACGTTAGAGCAAGAATCCTCTGACGAAATTTCAAAGCATTGTAAGGCCAACCAACACATTTTGAATTTTGAGATTAGAACATACTATTGTTTTTTCCAAAGGTTTTGTAATTTCGGTCTACTTGAGCGAGTCGAATTCTGATCGATAGTTGGATACAAGTTCATCCGGAGAAATAATATATCGGGATTGATAAATCTTTACAAAGGAAAGCATAGAATGCAAATGAATATCTGGTAAAAATATTATTTATATATGAATGTGAAAATACGCAACTAAGCACACTCTATATTTAGGTTGTCGTACTAAAACATTCATAAATGCTGAAATAAAAAGTGACATCTCGAGGACCTAAACTTTTCCGATATTCCATTAGAGTTTCAATATAAAAGCTTCGTTTTAAAAAAGATATAGATAACATTTTGGTGTTGAAAAGAGTAACACCTATTATATCTATCTCCCTATACATATTGATATCCATCTATATCGATTCCGGTTGCATCAAGATATGTAAATGAACAAAAACTATGATATTTGCCTCTGATCACAAAATCGCCAAACTCTGACAAAAAATGTCATTACAAGATATACTAAGGCACCAAGTCACTACTTATCTTTATTCGGTTCTATGAGACAAAATTTGAGTAAAATGTATTAGTCATATTTAAAACTAGGTACGGCCAATAAAAGCTCAATATATTTTGTGTTAGCATTTGAAAATTAAATTAATTTGAAATATTTTAAATTGATATTTGACTATATGGTATAGTATGATATTAAATTTTATTTAAAGAAAATGGCACAAAAGGAAAAAGTAAGCTCAGTGTATCTGGTAAAAACGTTCGACTCATACAAATTCCTGATTTCCATGTACATAATTCTTAACAATTTGAAGTTTCAGGCAAATTTTTAGAACCCACATACACAGCAACAAGAAGTTATATTTGAGTTCCATTCTAGAGTGTGTCTTACCAATAAGTTTTGGATTGAGTAAATTAGATATAAAGATTTACCTTGTCAAATGAAAAATAATACTTCTTCCCTATCCCCACGCTAATGTATGATACGTGCGATTACAAAAATGTAAATGCGATTGAAAAAAAATTCTGCAGAGGGAAACAAGTAAAAAATTGACAAGTTATGGTTTCAAGAAAGCTAACTTAAGGATTAGTAGTAAACATAATCGGCTGGTAAGGAATTGTAAGGGATTATGTATGCAACAATTTCAAAAGGCTTAAGGGAACTCTCATAAAATGTTGTTGCAGTGTTTCTCCGCCATCCAAATGATACTTATTCTTGGCGACAGGAAAGTCAAATCGAAATCGTGTTTTTTTACCAAATGTTATTCCAAAATGACCGTCTTTGCCACATTAAATGTTGTTATCGTTCGCAAACTCGCTGTCACACAAAACCAAAAAAAAAAACAATTTTTTGCATATTTATTTACCTGTATAATAAAAGAGGTGAATTTCCATACATATCCACATAAATAGCTATATATGCGTATATGCAAGACAGAGACAGAGAGAGAGAGATATTTTTTGAAGTCGACTTTGACTGTTTCGTTGCTGTTGTTGTTAAGTTTTCTTAGCTCATTCCGTTTTCAAGGATCTTTGGCACAGAGTATGACACTGGTTAGAGTTTTCACGTAAAAAAAAGGAAGTGTTTACTTGTATATATTATTAATTTTTTTTTTGTTGTTTCCCATTCCTTATTAAATATTATATAATAGGAGTTTATGCTATCCGTTTCCAAGTGATTTTATTATAGGTAACAAGTACATTGCTTTAAGTCCTTTTCGTAACGTTGGCTACTCGTGCTTTGTCGTTTAGGCTACTGCTTCACGACATTCTATATTAATATATTGGTTTACTATATATTAAATTCGTTTTTCATGTAATTAAAATTAAATAAATGAACAACAAAATTATTTTCTAATTTTAGTTTTTTTTTTTTTGGTTTAACTTTTTTTATATACATATTTAAAAATTGTTTTAAGTTCTTCATCATTTGTTTTGAGTTTTGTTTGCTTTGTTTTAATATATGCCTTCTTCAAAAGTAATTGCACCACGTTCGCAATACAATTAAGTGTATTTATAAGCAGAGAAAATTAAAATTTAATTTAAAATAAATATACGAGAGAGAGAGATGAATAAAACATCTATGGAGAATGGTTGTTGCTATAACTGGTTGTTGTTGTTTTTATAGCTGATCTGGTCTTTCACACATTCTGGCAAGAAATGCTGCGTGGGAGGAAAGAAAGAGATATATTGTTATTTTTATACATTGAAAATATTTTAATTAAAAAATGTGTAGATTTTATATCTAAAACTTTGACAAAAACACCCACATAAACATTGTGTATACATACAAACAAAAAGTGCAAATTTTGACGTATAAATAACACGGTGCTATATAGTGAAGGACTTATAGTTGATCTGAAAACTATTATGGATGCTTTGAATTAGAAATCGCTCAAACTTTTAGAGTCAATATAAGTATATGCCCTGATTTTGACAGCGAACCTTTTATGTTTTCGAAATTACTTAACTAAGTTTTACAAAGAATAAGAATATGTGTAAAATCAAAATGGAATACAAAACTATATATTTACTTTTTAAACATTAAATTTATTATTTGTACATTCAGTACTTAAATTTGTAGTATATTGTGTTTTCTAAATAAGTTTGAGTACTCGTGTACTTTACCGAAGCAAAATCCGAATTGAATTCGCGGGTTCTAAGCCCTACTAGAAATCCCAAAAATATTGCAAGACTTTACTTACAAAATCGTCATAGAAAAACTCACATTATACCTATAAAAAAAACTATGAGACAGATCGCGCTCTAATTTGACATGTAAACATATAACAGTCCTGCCAACCTAAGCAAAAAAGAAGTATGGCCATATGTCATGTCCTTGTCGAGTTATGGATAAAGTCTCGTTTATATTTGAGCAGAAGGTATATGTTGAAGGGGTTTTTTTTAACACATAAATAGTGGCGATGGGTAATTCCGAGCTTAAAATTGTTTTTAATTAAAAATTATTTATCTACTGCTTACTATAAGAAAATTTGTAAAATTGGGAAATTATTGATTTTCTTTAATTCTACATTTTTAAATTAAATTACATTTAATTTTTTTATTTTATTTTATTTTATTTTTCTTTTTTCCATTTTATCTTACTGTATTTTATCTTATTTTGTTATTAAAATTTTTTAATAATCTTATATTTTACTTGGTATTATTATTATACCTTATGTTAATTTAAATTTTCTTTGATTTTAAATTTTTCATGTTTTTTTTTTAATTCGCGGAAAGAGTTCAATTGACCCATAGGTCATAGACTCTTCTATTATTGCATCATTCTGTTACTTCTGTTACTCTTCAATTTAATATATTTAAAATCTTCTCATCGCATCGCATTTTATTTATAATATTTTTAACTATTGTAGTTGTATGCAGTGTGTATATAAAACATTTCTTTTTTACGCTAAATTCCCAATTCAAATTCCACAATATCCACGCCTATGCAAATTCCTTTCAAATTTGACCTAATTCTCTCCAAACTTAACCCTTTCATTTAATCACACATACTAGTGTATGTATGTGTGCGTATTATTAATCGGGTACTTACCGTTTAGTCGAAGACAATTGGATTGCTCATCATTCTCTGGATGAACTCTGCGTGGCGCACACGTTGTGTAATCATAATAATGTGTTGTTGTTGTTGCAGGCATTTACATCATATGAATATGTGTATATATGTATTTCACGTTAGAATTGTGCAATTGTGTGCGCAAACAATCATTCACATTCGTAGGTGGACGAGCGCATGTGTGTGTGTTTGTGTGTATGCGATTGGAAAACAAAGTGAAAGTGCGTCATACACATACATACATATATGGGGAGGTGAGGTGGTGCATTTTTTTTTGTTTTGTTTTATTTTCCACAGTGCGTTGGGGTTTATTTTTGGATTTTTTGACATTCGACGGGCACATAAAAACGTAGTTACATATACATAAGTCGGCATAGAATAAAAATATATATAGAAAATAAAAACAAATTTAATACAAGTATATGCACAGACATACATATAAATACATAAATAAATGTAGACATTATGTATTTTGCTAATGAAGATGAGAACTCAATATACATATACATACATATATGGGTATATATGTATATGTTTATATGATATTTTGGTGAGAAACAACAGAAATGAGTTTTTGTATTTTAGAAATATACACTGTACATATATAGTACATATGCATGTGTATATATGACGGATTTAATTTGAATACTATTTTCTTCTACTTACGGGAGTATGGAATCATGCCTTCATCATCCTCGGGATCCATGCAATCACCGAACAAAGTCTCAACTTGTTCATCATCCAATGCCTCACCTATAAGATGAAGAGAAAATTAGGATTATTAATATATGAGGAAGGTAAGTGAAGTTTTAAGCCACTTTTCAAGAAACTCAACTAAATTATTTCATTACTTCTAAGATTGTTTCTCTATAACTTCACTTACCAAGCGACAGGAGGGCGTGTTGCAATTCAGCCAAAAGCATGGTGCCGTCCTCGGCTTTGTCGTACAATTTCAAACATTCAATGAAATCTTCGTAGCAACCTTGGTCCTTTTCCTTCTTAACTTGTGAGTAGATGGGGAGGAATTCGTCGAAGGTGATTTTCTTCTCATTGCGCTTCTTGGTGCCGCCCATTTTCTCGATTAACGCCAAGGTTGGGTTCAAGTTGAGAGCACGGAGGGCATCACCTAGATCGACGGCGTCAATGCCCACACCGGGAGAGCCCATGATTTCGAAAACGAATTCGATATCTAAGATAAAGGATCGAAAAAGATATTAATATTGATTTTATTGAGGCGAAATAAAACTACTTATACAAGTGGCAGTAGAATTATTGGAAAATTTATATTGTTTTGTCAAACCACGACCTCATTTATTTTTCTGTAAGCTCTCCTTTTGATTAGAGTGCAATTTCATATCAAGCTTTCATGGAGCTTACACTTTCGTTGCTTTATTCAACTAGTGCTATCTTAAGTTGAATAGATACTGCAAGCCAATAGGCTTGAGAAGTCTAGCATGGAGTTCCAGTTTAATGTTTCTTTTATTTTTATTACTTTTTATTATTTCTTATAATTATTTATTTATATTTGTTTTGGTATACATTAGCTCGATTTTCTCAAGCATTGTTAGTCATTCTATCATGAATTAAAATTGTGTAAAAATTAAGCGAATTCTTCAGATTTTTTACTTTTTTTTAAATTATTTACAGTACCATTACTATAATGATTACATTATTTTAACTTTAAATTGGGAAACAAACTGCTTTATAATATTTTCTTTAACAAACATATACCTCAATAATTTGCCTGGCATATTCCTAACCTGAAAATATTTCAACCAAAAATAAGTAAAAAGTTTTAGATTGAATTAGATAATGGAATTATGCGACTTTTTCTGTGAGTTGAAGGCGAATTTCAACTCACTAGTATAGTAAAAAAAAAATAACAATAAAACTAGCTTCATTTGAGAACCAAAAATGACGGAATAACCTCGCTTTTGTACATAATAGATACAGATAGTTTTAAAAAATATTATATGTTGCATACCCCAATTTTTGCCAATAAAAAATATAAATAAAATCATTCCCTTTGCCTTGCCAATTCATCCATAATGCATGCATATTTCATATTCACTTCCTCCTTCACGCTAATCAACGAACTTGGTTCTTAGATTCAAGAACAAGTACAAGATATTTATGACACATGCCATATATGCATTGCACCCACAACTAACGTCGCTTCATAGTATAGATTTTGATAGCATATAGCTAGAGGAATTTCGCTCAGTGTATATGTATATGCGTTTCGTGAGAAAGAAATCTGACACCCGAGCGTACAACTAGGTGAGCACACGATCGGTTGAATAGACGAGTGTGCGTACCGTACACGCATGAGATTTTTGCCGAGCATATGTCTTGATTAGTTTTTGTTTGTATGCATACATTATCATACATATAAGCACCTTTGACTATGTGGGGTATGCTGAGGAAAAACTAAAAGCAAAATTTTTTCCCAAAATTAGAAATGCGTTCGGTGTGTCGTCGTTCGGCCAGCGCCTATTCGTGATCACGCATTTACCGCTAGCGTGTGCGCTCACATATAGTATTAACTTTTTTAAATTCTTTTATAATACATTTACACTCACTTATACTTGAATTGGTCACTACGATGCCGAGACTTTTTTGATCATATACTATAGCATATATATTTTTACGCTCAGTCCTTCATTACTAATTTTTTAATTTTTTTTTGTGTTTTTGTTTTTTTGTTCACATATTTGCTTTTATTTTTATAACGGCGCCTGCAGTTGCGCAGTTAATTTAAGCACATTCTTTTACAATATGTATTTTTAAATTTTTTATTTCTTTCTCAACGTTTTCTCTTCGAAAACTTTGTTTTTGCATAAATTAGTTTTTTTATGAACACACTAGCGGCATTCAGCCGTCCGTTAAAAATAGCACGCAATCGATTGTAAAATCTTTCATTTCAATTCCATTTCTATTCCGTTTCGCTATCGTTTCGTTTATACTGTTATATAGACTTTTTATGGGCACCTTAAGCAGTCAAATACGTAGGCGTTGCGTTGATATGGCAGTTTTTGCGGGATATCATAGTAGCGGTTACCGTTATGTACAGCTGTATATGCGTATGTGGATTGCGGTCTATCATAAACGCAACCAAAATTGCTGAGAAGTACACTGGTATTCCAAAACTCTGCTGGTGCGTTGCTTTTTTAGCGAAATTTACGCGAAGTTTATGCAGCCTTTCGATAATAACGTTATCACTTTGTGCCGTTATGTAAGTATAGGATTCGTGGATATTTGGTTATGGTATGTTTATAGTCTTTTGATGAGTTAACAACAACAATTTTGTGAACAAAATCATTTGGAAAAATTATTTTAATTTTGATTTAATATTAGCTTTTAATATATAGTTAATAGTCCTTGGAGACGTTTGTGTAATCATTTTCCAGTAATTTTTAGACCACTTTTTTATAAAATAACAACTTGTATTCGAACTTACTTTCAATATCACGTTTTGGTATATCGGCCTAGAATTAGAAGAAATGAAAATATGTGTAACATTTAGTTATTGTATAAAACATTTTTTGATTAAAAACGCTAATTTTACATTTGCTTCAACTTTTAGGGTTATGTATGAACAAACGATTTATTTTTTATTTTTTTCTAATTGTAACAATCCTCAAGCGCTATGGCAGCAGTCACTCACCATTTTGTTTGTTGGATGAGAAAAAATCAACTAACCCGTGGATGAGCTCTGTCTCGACTGAACGTTTCACGTCTACAGCACGCGTGTTAGGTACTTTCCTGTCGCTTGGCCAGCCAAAAAGTTTTTCACAATTTTCCCGTTACACATACGAACGTGTAGAAGCCGAAGCCGAGTGGCCGCACGATCACTTAGTTTTAGATGTATGCGTGAAATGGCAGGGTAAATCGGGTAACTCGGTTGATGGGCGGGTAATTGGACTGTTAGAGTAGAACACACACACACATATAGGAATACACACTAGTGCAATACACTTATACAAATAGGAGATACAATATATGTATTTGTGTATGCTTAGCATGGCTGAAATGTTTCGAAAGTTTGTTGTTGTTCCGCGTTTAATCATAAAATTACTTTCCTCTGAAAAAAATATATATTTTTTCTGCAAAATATTTTACGTTGCCACGAATCCGTATATACATATTTGCATATACATATAAGCGTATGTATGTGTGTGATTGCCTATATATGTTTTTAAAATAATTTTAAGCAAGACTACACACACACGCAAACTCATTCAGATGCTCACTTTGTGTTTTTGTTGTTGTTGTTATTTGGCAAGGGCGGCATAGCATACAGGTGATTTACTTGCTGAACTAGCCGCCACAAAATACGCCAAACAATAGCACTAGCATCAACGAAAGCTACAAAATAGTCGCCATCAAAACCACCGCCAACACCTCGCTTCGCTGCCGACCATATTTTACGGTATTCTCAGTGGTCGTTGCTATTTTTACTCAGATGCGCATAGGAAACTACAATACATACAATACATACATACATACTATGTTTGTATATGTACAACAGTAATAATCGCCAGCCGTTGCGGGCCTTAGTGTTGAATATCATTAGATATTTGTCTTTTCAAATTGGTGCGTGTTGTTTATATGTATGTATATATGAGCAGCTCCTGGTATTTTATTAAAAAAACGCACATAATCCTCACTACTGTTCCAATATTCATTTAAGTATATATTGGTACAATATATAATATAACACGACTCTACAAAAAAATGTTTGTTCTTCATCCTAAAGTTTAATTTATGATTCTCTGTTTAATTACGAACTGAAATGAAATGAAAAGAATATACATTTTTGCGGTATAAAGTTTGTTTTTGTAATAGTTGTAGTAAAATACTAATTTTTAAATTTTTTTTTCAATTTTAAACATTTTATATACAATACATTCAAAAATATTATACATCTATTATATAATAATTATATAAAAATTATGTTGAGACAATGCTCCTAGATGACACTCGAGTCATAAACAACAATTAGGTGTTTTATACAAGTCCAGAATAACTTACAATGTCGTCGCGAAAGTGTAAATATGATGCCGCTGCATTTTGGTATATATGCCAAAATATATATTTTTTCGTCTAATTATGACCAATAAATCGAAATTTAATACTTTAAAGTTAAGGTCAAATTTTGTGTTAAGCCATGTAATCATAAGCGTATTTCTCCGATCGCATTAACTTACATTGTTTGCCTATTGACCCTGATCACTTCGTTGGTTTTAACACTTTTCATTATGCCTATGTATGTGTGTGTGCTGATCTTTCCTAATATTTTCTTGAAGAGCGTTGCATAGCGTCATCTTTCGTCATATACATACAGACAGTATTTCGGCAAGCTTTAAATATACATAAATACATACACACATGTTTTAATATACAAGTATGTATCTAGATACATACATACATATGTATATGAAAATGGTCAAATTCACCACCCCTCATGCATACTTATTAAGCATATATTTCGCAATGTGTCGAGTGAAAAATTCCGTTGCTCTTCGTACATACTAACGTCTAACTGTATATGCTGCTTGCATTGCGCTTTTTTTTGTTTGTATGTATTTGTGCGCAAGAAAATGTATTGGTTTATGCCGCCACGCAACAAGTTTTTGGCTTCACTATTTTTACCAGCGATGACACAGAAATTCTTTTCATTTATTATCTTACTTTGGGGCTTCGGCATATTATTTGCAAATAAAATACACGAATATATACAGCATTATGTATAGGCAAGACAGAGTGTGGTTTCTACATAGATTTTTCATATCGATCTGCCGTAATAAATTATATTTTATTGGATAGGCTCACTTACTGTGTGTGTAAACAGAAAACTTTGAGATAAGGTAGTAAGGTGAAAAAAATATAGCTAGCGCTTTTAATTGTCGAAAATTATAATTAATTTTTTTGTGAAATGAACAATGTTTCTTAGACGAATTATATTTGATGAAAATATATTAAAATCCTTTTACTTACTTGAATAGCTTTAAAGCTTTAAAGCCAAATTAATTAAAAATATATTTTTTCGTTCATATCTATAGTTTTAAATATATTTATACAACAAAGTCGAGTTTTGTTTTTGCAAATATGGTATGGCGAATGTACATACGTATATTTGAGAATATTCTCGAAAAATTTAAGTGTATATTTTTCTTGGGGGAAGCCACCACGTTATCAAAAAACAAATTTTTGACTAGTTCTTCGATCATTACCTCTATTCATATATAGTAATAATAATAACTGTTTTTTGTTTTTTGGATTTGAGATAATTTTAGGCAGAAAAATCGCCAGACATCTTTTTTCAGAGGTCCTCTTAAATTTCGGCCACGGGACCAAACCATTTAAAAAATAATTGCCGATTTTTAAATTACTTTGAGTTCGGTAAATGTGCATAACTTATATTTATTAAATTAAATGCCTATTCAAAAAATATTGACAAAAAAATTTTTTTTTACTTGCAAGTGGATATAAGGCTTTAAGGTTTTTTGTTAATGTAAATCTGTAAAATAGATATTATATAAGTTATAATAATAATATTAAATCACGTCATTTCAAACAACAATGCATTCGATGAAATATTTAAAGCTTGAGAATGTCAAAGTCCTGAGACAAAAATTTACATACATATTATACAATAATATTGTTGGGCGTATGAGCAACATAATGTAGTCTATTAATATTTTATAATCTTCCATAAACTAAAGTCTTTTTTGAATTAAATCATAAATTCTTTAAAAAAATCTAATTTATTCACATATTTTAAATAGTTTTTGTTAGATCAAAACTACTTTTACTTTGCCTTGCGCCGACGAAGCGTATGAGTAATTTTATAGCGCTCATGTTACTCATACGCCCTCCACACTTATATTTGCATGTCGGCAGAATAGGAAGACCAAACTAATGTCAAGAAATCAATAAAAAAAATTCTTGTAAAATGTGAAAATTAAAATTTTAATAATATTTTATAATCGGTAGTTAATTTGAAAATGTCTGTCAGGAATCAACATATATTACGAATTAAAAATAAATTAACTACTATTATTATATATTTAATCTCAACAAAATTTTGTAAATAATTTTTGAGCTATTAAGAAATATTATGGGAAACAGTATCGAGGTTGTTTATGGCAGAAAGGAAGGTCACAAAACCTGTTTATATGCTCAGTATCTGTTAATCAGAAAAACTACCAAAGGCAATTGTATTTCAGAAATATGGTTTTATATGAACCACCAAGTAGGTTGTCATTGTCATTGCTTATTATACATGTATAATCCTATTATTATTATTTTAATTTAAATAATACAGATATATTGATAATAGAAACAATGTAAAAAGGCAGAAAAATTCAATGTTTAATACTCAAATACAATATTATTTTCATAAACTTTCTCCTCCTTAGTAGCGTTACTTAGCCTGCTTAACATGTACATATATATATTATTTTACCATACCAGATAATCCGCCGCTACTCCCACCCCATTATATTTCTCTTCGGCAAAAGTAGCTCATCCACTTGTTGCCTTCTACCAGCATCCCAATTCATCAATGGGCTTGATGGCTTAAAGTACGCAAACTCAGTAATTTCACTTATCTCTCTAGTGCTCTTTTGTTTTGATTTCACTTTTATTATCACTTCTGTTGTTTAAGGCTTTCTAAACAATCAAAACGGCCTCTTTCAAGTGCCGAAGCATCTACTTCCATGTCCTTTTAGAAGTTATTCAACCCAAAGCTGCACAACAACTACGACTTGGTAGTGAGAATCAGCTGTTGTTTGTTTACAATAAGCATCTGAACTGGACTAGAACTGCGCAGGCCTCCCGATGTGCTGAGTGTGTAAACAAAGAGTATTTTTTTTCTTGTTAGATTCACCCCTGAGCTATCTAACTTAAGCCTACTGCCTACTAAAGTTATACAGCTATATATTTACTGTAATCTGTCGTTACTAATCCAACTAATGTTATTACTTAATCGCTTCTGTGCGCCATTTAACTGATTTTATGCTTTCATATAAAATCACAATAATAACGGTCGTATATTATTTATAAAACCTTTATCTCCCACGCCGCTTACACAAATTTTATCGAAGACAATAAGCCGATAAGCACACAACAACTTAATGCAGTGAGGCTTCATTTTGTATACATATCTACAAACATGTCACTTATACGCAGTGTTTGCCATAATCGCTTAATGAGTGAATTGTTTTCCAGTAGCTTCATTAGGTTATCGGTGAAATGGCGAACAAAGGCAAACAATTAAGAGGGGACGATTCACCCCCTACTCGCCTTGCACTCACCATTGACCCACTTTTCCCAACTGTCCTGCTTGTGGCCTAACGGCAATCAACCCTATCGACCCGCGTTGGTGGAGCCGGTGGGCCTCGGCAGTGAAACGATTTGTATGTTTGTGCACACTTAACAAGCTGACGACGGCGACAATGCGCCGAATGTGTGTGTATATGCTCGTCGAGTTAGAGTATGCGCGTATGTAATGAGTGGTGGTATGCTGCTTGTTATCTCCGATAAAATATGTGTGTCGTTCAAAATACAGCGTGTGAAGTATGTAAAAGATAAAAAAAATTATACAGAAATGTATTCTAGACATTTTCCCAAAATTTCGGAGACATTTAAATAAACTAGTATTTTTATCAAGTTTTTAATTACTTTATTATGAAAATATTTTAACTAAATCATACTCTTAAATAATATTCAATATATAATATAAATATATATAAGGAACAAAAAATAATTTTTGCCATTTTTTAAACATTTAGAAATGAAAAAACAAAATTTAATTTTTGGTAAATTTTATTTATTATTTATTTTCAAAAAAAATTGCTAACATAAACAAATCCAGAATTGTTTTTTTTTTGTTGTGTTTATACAATATAAATCTACATAATTTACTAAAAACGATCTATATATTTTCCGAAATTTTCGGAAACATTTAAGAAAAAAAGTCTTTAAGAAGCTTGTAATTAAACTACATAATTATGTATATGTATATGCAAAGGACAAAATATATCTCTTTTTTGCATTTTAAAAAAAGAAGAAAGAAGTTAAAGAAGTTTTCTAGATCGGACAACTATAGCATAAAGCTGCTATACATTCTGAACGATCACAACCAAATTCTTTATAGAACACTTCTTTATTCGACGTGAAGAATTTTTTCAGATCGGAACGCTATATCATATGTCTATCATATAAACTGAACGATTAAAATCAAGTTCTTGAATGGAAACTTCTTTATTTGTGAAGGGTATAATGACTTTGGTACAAAGTTAAGGTTTTCTTGCTGTATTTCCTGTGGTTGGAAGTGGAGGTCGTAAGGATGAATTGGTGATAAATTTACTTATGACCTGCAATAGTTAGTTTAATACAATATTTATTATTTTTCCGTCGGATTTTATTATTCAAAAATATTAAATTTGCATTATTATAAGATTGGTCTTCAGAAACATGCATCTTTGATACATGTTAACAACAAACGTGGC